GGGGAAGGAGACATATAAATAGTGCCTGTTTGGAAGGCCAGGTGTGTCCTTCCAACTCGAGCCAAGTATAACAGGAGGGAGCAAGAGTGCGCCTTCCTCTCCAGACCCAACTCCTCAGATGCATTTCCTCCTGGGTGTTTCTGTTATTACGGGTGGGTGGATAGAAAGGAAGGAAGAAAAGAAAGCAAAAACCTTTGGTTTATTCCTGGATCTCACCCCCCTGAGTCTCTTTATTTGACCACTTCGTACCTGCTTACTTGTGCATTGTTTGTCCTGTGCATGTGTTATGGCCCGGCCACTCTAACCCCTTATTTCTGCTGGAGGGGGAGTTTTGCTCCACTGTTTCCCACTCCTCTTCCTCACTCTATCTATCCCTGCTGCCAGGTGCAAAAGCTCCTCCATCACTGGACCTTTCACCAACCCAAATCACTCCATTTACTTGTTAGAAACCTTCTTTTGCTGGGTTAGTGCATTGAGCTGGTGCACAGCAAGTTCAGACAGGCAAAGCAGAGAGAGGGAGAAAGCAGCTGCTTGCAGCAAGAAAGGGAAAAAGCATTTGAGGACAAAGAGTTTTCTTGTTTGACTTTGCTGACCTGTTATATAGCTTCCTGCTTTCGTGTGTAACTTAATCACCAGCTGATATCTTGGCACGCTGTTGTTTTCCATGCTCTCAAGAGGCACATCCATTTCAAACATCACCCTTTCCGCCCGGAATAAAGCTTCAGCTCCCATGTACTTCTAGTTTTCCACTGCAAAGGTGGCCTCAAACTGAACTCTCTGACAGAGTGTATCTGGCCAGCACTGTGGTCACATTTACAGTCATTCCTTCTGCCAACATTTTTACAGCATGCATGGCTGTTACAATGAACCCCTTGGAAAACAAGGATGTGGCAACAGAAGGTTTCCCTTGTCTTCCTGGAGACAGACCCACTTATGGTGGGTCCCCTATCTGGCTGCTGGTATCTGCTAACTCCTAAAAAACACAGATGGCATCAGAGAGCCTGGCACCTAAATGGCCTGGTAGGGAGTACCATTTGGTTGCAGTGACCAGGAGCAGGCAAGTCATCCTGCTCCTGCCATTCCTTGCCCATGGATACAGGACATGTGTGCCTGTGAGCACTAGGGGCAGGAGGGTTGTGATGGAGGGGTGTGTTGCCAGCAGGGATGAGGGGGCAAATCTGTATCCTGGCCACATTCCCCTAGCTGCATGGCCACGGCCAGCCCCAGCTGCTCACCATGGGCTGTGGCTGGGCACAGGCTCCTCCACCCCATATACCTCTGCCTTTGGGTGGTAGAATCATAGAATTCCAGACTGGTTGTGGTTGGAAAGGACCTTAAGATCATCCAGTTCCAACCCCCTGCCATGGGCAGGGATGCCTCAAACTAGACCAAGTTGCTTCAAGCCACATCCAACCTGGCCTTGAACACTGGCAGGGATGGGGCAGCCACGGCTTCTCTGGGCACCCTGTGCCAGCGCCTCAGCACCCTCACAGGGAAGAGCTTCTGCCTTAGATCTAACCTAAACTTCCCCTGTTTCAGTTTGAACCCATCACCCCTTGTCCTATCGCTACAGTCCCTGATGAAGAGCCCCTCTCCAGCGTCCTTGTAGCCCCCTTCAGACACTGGAAGCTGCTCTGAGCTCTCCACGCAGCTTCTCTTCTCCAGGCTGAACAGCCCCAGTGTTCTCAGCCTGTCTCCATACAGGAGGTGCTCCAGCCCCTGGGCATCCTCGTGGCTTCCTTCGGACTTGCTCTGACCAGTTCCAGGCTGATCGAGCCCCTACCTCCCCATTCCCGAGGGCACGTTGGCATGTTTGCAGCCACTTGATTCGCTCTCCTTTCCCTGTTCTCTCTTTCCCCCAACTTTCTGAAATGGGAACATCATTTGCAAGGCAGGCGACGCAGAAGGAGGCCTCGCAGCCCCGCGAACGCAGCATCAGGCAGAACAAAATAAACGCCTAAGGAGGTGCTTCCGAGAGCCTTTGAAGGAAACTGGAGCACAGATCCCTCTTCTCCCTCTGTTTTTGTCACGTCTCTGTAGCACGGTGGCCGTTTTCCCGGCTGCTCGGCAGGGCTGACAGCGTGTCGTCAGGACAGGGCTGTGTCCTAAATAGAAACTCTGCAGGGTTGGAAAGTTCCCTTCCTCTAATTGGAACTAACTCACGGAGGTGAAGAAAAGCTGCAAAATTGTTTTAAGCTATGAGCAATTATAACAACCCTCACGGTGTCAGTGACACGGAGAGGATTTGTACTGGATTATACCTAACGTGAACATGATCTAATGCGCCATGAATATCGCAGGCCCCGCTCTCAGAGTCGGGTTCCTTGTTCTTCAAAGTCATCTGGGGCTTGGGGAAGATGGGGAGTGAAGCCATGCTGAGAGAGTTTTGGTGCAATGTCATGTCTTGTTTTAACAGTGCAAATAGGCAGTGTTAAAGTAACAGGGGAAGGCAAAATGGATTCTAACAGGAGCCAGCCTCCTGCTATTTGGCACTGTCCTCACTGGGCAGAGAAATACTGCAGAGGTCTTGCAGTGAGGGGACATGATGGTGCCGCGCCATCCGTGGTGCCAGGAACACCGGGTGAACCTATTGTGAATCCTTCCCCTGTGTCCAGGCTGCATCAGATTGTCTGAGGCAGCTTTAAGAAGTGCTTTAAAATAATCCTATTTATAACAGTATGGAGGAACTTCTGCTTCTGCAAGCAGAGGGAAAAGGGAATGACTTGGTGTGTGCCTCCTTGGGGCAATGGAGCTGGGGCAGGGCCTGGAGCACAAGTGTGATGGGGAACGGCTGAGGGACTTGGGGGGTTCAGTCTGGAGAAGAGAAGGCTCAGGGGGGACCTGATGGCTCCCTACAAGTGCCTGACAGGAGGTTGGAGTGAGGTGGGGTCGGTCTCTGCTCCCAAGGAACAAGGGACAGGACAAGAGGAAACGGCCTCAAGCTGCACCAGGGCAGGTTTAGATGGAGCTGAGGAACAATTCCTTCCCCAGAGGGTGCTCAGGCATTGGAACAGGCTGCCCAGGGCAGGGCTGCAGTCACCGTCCCTGCAAGTGTTCACACAGCGTGGAGACGAGGCCTCAGTGCCATGGGTTAGTGGTGGCCTTGGAGTGCTGGGAACGGTTGCACTGGGTGAGCTTAAAGGGCTTTTCCAACCCAGTTGATGCTATGCTTCTATATGCAGAGATTCCAGCAACATGAAGCTCTGGTGGAGCTGGCTATGGAGATAGTGATCATGAGAAGCATGGTCTATAGGAAATGAGGGGAGAAGGGGGCTGTGTAGGAGCTGAGTCTGCATGCTGGGCCTTGGGGAATACCTGATCTGCTACTGACTTATTATAGAGCTTGCAGGGAGCTGTTTAATCCCTCTGTAGACCAGCTCCTCAACAAGCAGAATTAAAGCAATGGCATTTAGCTCCATGGGAAGGGACAAAGAGAAACCTGCATTGGTGTGAGGCACTCAAATCCTAGAGTGATTGCGGGGGGCAAAGATGGAAGGGAGGAAAGGAAGTCACTGAGTGAAAAGAGACACATATTGTCCTTGAAGGCATTCCTTCTTGCCTTGGATTTTGCTACTGAAATCAACAGAGCCAACCAAAGACTTAAACTTCAGTCATACCCGAATGTCACAGAGTACAGATTGTGCTTGGGAACTACCCAAGGTTTGCCTCGGAGAAGAAAGGGAGTACCTGATCAAATGGATGCAATTTTTTTTCTCAACCTAGACTTAGTGCCTGGTGCAGGGAATTAACAGGGGTGAAAATGGCTTTATATCCCTAATGGGAAGCTCCTCCATGCTGGTGCTAGTGAGCTCTGCAGTGCTGAGCTCTGCAGCAGAGGTGAGGAATGAGGCCAAGAGGTCTAAATTACATTTGCTGTCTATACTGCCTTTGAATTTGGTCCTGACGGTAGGCTGGGTTGGCCATACTTCTTACTAGCAGCATCATTTGACTGATGAACAGAAGAATTTCATATCAGGCCCTTAGGAGATTTTGTACTACTAATGTAGTTATTCTGCAGAGATGTCAAATAGAAGTATACCTATGCAGTGTTGAACTGTAATCCATCCCACTGAAGTCCACCCAGGGAGTAAGTTCAGACCCCCAAATAGGACATGACAGATACCAGACAACTAACATAAAGGAGTGTGTTTCCCATTGTTGCTTCCCAGTTGTCCTACAGCCCACCTCACTACCAGCCCCATGCACTGGTCAATCCCAAGTAAGCACTCTTCTGAAAGCTTAGCTGCAGTGTTGTTAAGCCAAACTGACAAAAACCATGAGCTAAAATAAGCACCTGCAGGAAGATGAACTTAGCTTAAAGAGGAATGTATTGCAAAGAAGGAGAAGGAACATGAGTCAGAAGGAAGGGTGGAGATTTGCACCTTTGAGCCCTCCAGCTTTATCAATGGGGACTGAGATCTCTCATGTTCATGTGTTTCTAGAACACCAGCAAATACTGGGGGAGGGACAGTTTAACCTCATGAGAACCAGCAATATTTGAAGGTTATATTGCATAGAAAAGGTTAAGAAAGAATTGTAGGCAATTTTACACTTCTCACAGGATTACAAAACCAAAACCAAGCCAGTCTGAAATAGTTTGGCCAAAAGAGACAAACAGTTTATACCGATCCACAAAAGTCTTGTGGGAGTTGCAGGTCGGGTGCTTCTTGTTTTTGTTCTGCTTCTCATGAGCCTCCCAGCTAGGATTTTACCTTCTGCAGCCCCTCAAGAAGCAGGAAAAGGACCATTATGGTGAGGAGACAAAGAAAGGAGGGGAGCTGTGGGGCTGAGGAGAACCCTGGGAGATGAAATCTGTTGGAAGATGTGCCACCAGCTCCTCGGTATAGGGATGAGCTTGACCCACTGTGAAGTTTCTCAGAACTAGTGCTAATATCCTGGGCTTGCAGTACTTAGGCAGCAATTATCACCTATAAAATAGGTGCTAATGTAGATTGTCACATTCAGAGGGCCAGCTGCTAAGCTGGTACAAATGGGTGTACCTCTGTGGGCCCCACTAGAGCTGGGCTGGTTGATGCCAGGTGAAAATGCTCCCCAGAATTTTGAAGACACCAATTAGTTTTAAACTCAAACTGAAGGGAGAAGAAAGGGTTCACATTGATCCCTTTGTTTTAACAGGAAATTTAAATCAGGAGGTGTCTGAAGTTCCACCTGATGAATGATTGAACTGAGTAGCATGCAGCATCACACGCTGGTCATTTTATAACAATCACAAGGGAAGTATTTCTGGAAAGGAACTAATAGAAAATTCCAGTGACCTGGCAGAATCTAGCAGCTAGTTTGCAGCCTGTGCCTTTCCATCTTGGCAGGATACTATTTTCCTTCATTCTGTAAAATACTTAGATTGGTACAATACAGCTTTTTCAGTGGGGTCCTAAAGAGATGATCTACTAAGGTATAAGGGGGGGGGGGGGGGAAATAGACCAATTTGGGATTTAAAAGTGTCAGGGACTTTTTTGTATGGGTACACAGAGATGCCAGGTCAAAGCGCTGCTTTCCAGTAACTATAGCACAGCACACATTTCCCCACTAACACACCAGCTGGTGGTTGAACCTCACAGCAAAGAATCAATCAAGTCAAGGCAATTTCCTTAACCTGCCATCTGTAAGAGATTATGGAAAGGAGGTGGGAGAAGGCTTTTCCTTAGTGGCTAATGCTTTACTAAAGTTCAAATGAGGCAATATATAGTAAAATAAATTCAATCTCTATTTTCCTCTTCTTTCAATTTTAGTGGGGACTAAATGAAATGGAACTGTGTTGATTCTACCCGCTTCAATATATCTTCACTTTCTAATAATCAAGGACATTTTTACCTTCATGGAAAAAAGGAGCCTAATATGAAGTACTCACCCAAACTGAACAAACACATATTCACACTTTTTCAAACGCCAGGTAGGTGAGTGATATATGATGCAATTCATTTCATGGCACACTGCTGACTGGTTTTTTATAGATAGCGTTTAACCTTGCCAATTTTGCTCGGAGATAATCACTCCTTTGAGGATAAAATCTCACATTTAACATGAGACGAAAAAAGAAGCCCCACGTGCCAAAATCTGCGGTATGCAACAAATAACAGGGAAGTTACTTAGCCAGAAATATAACAATGAGAGCAGTTTTCACTGCTGACTCTGTGATTAGCCAGTGGTTGTTATAATATTAATCAGAAATACAGTGATAACTGCTTAGACGACGTTTTGAAACAGCCAGTGAGCAATGACAAAATGCTTAGACATCTTACAATAATGTATTTCTGCCCTGACTAATGGAAGTGGCAAATAGATTCATAAAAATCCCCTATATTTAGCACTGGAGCTATTCTCAGAGTGCAGGAGCTTTGCTTGTGGTTCTCTGGAGTTTATGATCAGGAATATTAATAGTGCTGGCGTCTCATGGAACGGACGCAAACCCTGGAAAACACCTCTGAAACACCCAATGGAAGGACATCAGTGATGGAAGTCTGCAGGGTCAACACAGTGCCCATTTGCTCTGTGAGCCCTGATGTTCCCCTGGAGACTGCTTTTGAGAGAGGAACAGTGCAGAAGGTCAATGCAAAGTGAGATTTTACCTGGAGGGAGGAAAAAATATGTAGAAGCCTGGATTCATCCTACTGCACTGTAGGCACGTAGCTGAGGTGGCTAAGTTTGGAGTGTTGTCAGCCCTTGGTTCCCATTATAGGCAAGGCAAGGAGAGGCAGGCACCTCCTGAGGGCGACTCAGCCCACCTATGATATGAATCATCCTCAGGACATCCTGTGTTTCACCCCTGCTGTTGCAAACCAAGCGCCTGACGTGAGATGAATCCTGGCCTTGACGTGCGAGGATGAGACAAACTGGCTCTGATTGATTGAGAGCCTGCAGCCAGGAGAGAACCAAACATAAATCAAACACGTATCTCAATTACTGAAATGAAAGATTTCATTAACTTTTAAGGATGCTTCACTCTTGCCTCCACCCTTCCCTTTTGGGCACACGCTTGGGACCATTAGCTGGACGCAGTGTTTGTTAGGTAAGACCCCATCTTCATGCCATTTCCAGTTCCTGGAGGAGCTTGACTCTTCCATAGGTTTTTATCCTATAGGCTACTAGAGATCCTGGAAAACATCCAGCCAGGACCAGACTTAGGGATCTCAAGCTAAACAGTGAAAGAGGCAATTTAACCTGCTTGTTCAGCTAAGATATTTCACTACCAGGATTGCCAGCTTGGCCAGAGGTGACCAGATGTAATGAGGGAGCATAAAGGCATCCTATGCCTTAAAGCCCACTTTAAATAAGTTCTGTTTCAGGGACATAATATGCAACATAAGGCTTTGGAGAGGCTTTATTCATGGGGACAAATTGTCCTTAGATGGTGGAAGTAATACACAGAAATTAATGTAGGGACTCTGCATTTTGGTTTTTATTCATTTTATGCTTCCTCCTTATTGAAACTCCACCTCAAATCCAACCAGAAATAGCAAATAACGTTCAATAATACTTTGCAAATAAAAGCCCCCCTAAACCAAGCCTTGTCTGAAGACATCACTTTAAAACACCCGTAGGATCTCTGGCAAAACGCCTTTGTCTACAAAAGATTTTATTTTTTATATGTATTTATTTAGGAAACCTGTCTCTGTTTTGTTATCCTGATCTGTTTGACAAAGGTTTCATTGCACAAAGAGTTTGAGAGTACTTATCCCTACAAAGCATGCTTCATTTCGCCACTGCGTAAACCAGAAGCGTGGGCTATTTTTCTTGTTTCCTAACCCAAACAGCAAAGCCCCGAGTTCCTCTGGAACTACTCATGTAAAGTAAATAATTAGACCTAGAGCTGATGAAGGCACTTAACAGCAGGCTTATTTTTAACTCTGTGAGTGCAGCCACCGAATTCAAAGGGATTGTTTGGATGTTTCAGTTGAGTGCATATTGAAGTGTACTGCTGATCCGGAGTGTCCTAGCCCTTAAACTGGGCCATTGCTTTCAGTGGGGCCACCAGTATAGGGTGAGGGCAGCAGGACAGCAACCATGGCTTGATGAAATCATGAGAAGCTGGTTTTTACCTCTCAAACACCAGGACCCTCCCCAAAGCCCCAGAGGCTTGGTTTGGTTTTGGTGGGTTTGGATTCTTGCTGGCATTTCTTTCCCATTTAGGTTAATCCATGTCTTCCCCATTCCAGGGGAATATTATCTCAGCCATGTGAAATGGAGCATACTCATCCTACCCCCATAAAACACATGGAAAATATGAACAGGGAATGATCAACAGCAAATAAACTGCCAAGCCCTGCAATTCTTCACTCTTGTGCCTAATCTCAAAAGGAGTCTAGATAAGACCAGCAGCACACTCCTCACTGAGCAAAGATTACTGATCAGATTAACTTGATCCTTCAGCAGACAGCTGACACATGGTTCCTTCCTCTTCACCCTGCCCCTTCCCGCACTCCAGTTTAAATGGGGCTGAAGTGGTGCATGGGACTTCTGCTGTTCCTTGATGCTGGGGTGGGTTTCATCTCACGTGGGAAAGAATTAGCGCTATTGGGCTCAAGGACCTCAATTTACCAACAGGGACTTGCTTTTCCTCAGGGCAGACCCATATGCCTTTTTCTTCCTAAGAGATGTACTACCAGAAAAGCAGATTGGTGCAATGAAGCTTGCTGCTTAAAGGTGAACTGAAACACTTATGTACTGTTTATAAAAGCCAAAGTGTGCCTCTTTGAACCGCACACTTTGTAAAGTGCGTATTCAATGCAGCCATGCCACGATCATCTTTGGAAACACTACAAGCTGCATGAGAAAGAAATTTATAGGCACAATTTTTCAGAGCTGTGATAGCTCAGAATTATTGAGTTTCCCCATTCAGGGCAATGTGAGAGGCCACCCTAAGTCTGATGCAATTTAAACCACTCCATAGATCATGCTGGACATCCTCTAATACATATCATTACAGCCTCACTGAACCTAATAGGTGTTAGCCAGGGAGGAGGACAATGTGCACTCTATTACCTATGCTATAAGCCTATCCTCTTTCACTGCACCATGTTCTCAACTGATGCTGATCAGCAGAGCTCTGGTGCAGTCAATGGGTTTTGTTCCAGTTTTCACCATTTGGGGCCTGGACACTTTTATTGTGTCAGGTTTAAAGGTTTCCTCTTTTTGTTTTTTACAATGCCTATGGAGTTTAATTCTCTGCTCTGCCTGGGTGACTGCAAGCAAGTCCCCTGTGACTCTGGCTCCCCATCATGTGGACTGGGGTCAGGTCTACATCCCCCCTTCCATCCATCCCTCCCTGTCCAGCATGAAAAGCTGGGAAACCCTCAGTAAACTGGTTCCAAATCCTGAAGATCAGGCTGCAGGAGGGACTATGATACAGCTACACCACTCAGTAATGGGCACGGCGTGAGACCTGAAGTTATCACAAATGGGTGGATATGGTATCAATCCCAATGCAGTCTCATCATACATGTCAGACAGAGACAACGTTTTCCCTCTGTTTCCTAACACGCTTTGGAGCTAACACAGGTGATCCAGGTGAAACACAGATACCAAGACCAAACCCAACATGGACCTGAAATAGTGTGCATGCTGTTGCTCCTTCCATAGTACTTCCCTTCTGCTCCTTCTGTTTCTGAGGTCTTAGGTTGAGGTGTGTTGAGAGCTTTGTAAGAACTTTAGAGTTCTGGTTATAAACCCATCTTTCAGCCTTTAGCTTACATGAGATGCATTTACATGATCAGCTTCAGGTACCCCTGGGCAAGTCAGACTTTCTCATAGCTGCATAAATACATATTTTTTTGAAGTACATCTATGATTGATCGTCATCTCCATTTGTGTATTTATGCCTATGACAGTTACAGAGCTTGCACAAGAAGATCCATGTTTTAATGGTGCTTACATTCATTTCAGCATAGTTATATATAGCTACGTATTTGAAAGTCCTAAATAAAGAGGTTACAGCTCACATAAGAAGTAAAATGAAAATATAAACTGGAATTAAATCATCTGAAGTCTTAGCCCTTAAATATCTGGCATGTTTTGTACAACTGATAGGCTTATGTATTTGAGTATAGATATGTAAAAAAACATCAGTATTTGTATCTAGTGGATACAAAAACATATAATGCAACATGCAACAATACACACGTGTGCAAGCATGTACCCATGCGTGCATCTCCACACGTTTGGAATACTTGGTACATACAATCCTTTTGAACCCTTGCATCTGGAAGGTGTATTTTACAATAACACTTGGGAGCTTAAAATAACATAGCTGCCGTCTGAGTGCATGCTGGAGATGCTGCTAAAGCTGCAGGTCTGCTCAGAAAAGGGAGCTGGGAGAGCAGAGAGAAATGGGCTGGTAAAAGTTGCCATTCACCACATGATGCACTGGAGCCCATCGCTTTAGCTGGGGGTGCAAACATCACACACAGTGAAAATGATCACAGTTTGACAGTATGGCCCCTGCACGTGCTTGAAACACATCCCCCAGGTGGGACACAGCGCCTGCATGCTGCTGTTTGTACCCCAAGGATCCCAAGGAGCAAAGGGATGGAGGTCTTCAGGGAGCTGGGCAAGCTTTCCCACAGGCATTTGGGTCCTGTGAAGGGGGCTGCGTCCTGGCAAAGAGGGGCTCACTCTGGTGAAGCTGCAAGCAGGGCTTAGAAGGTGAAGCAAGGAGAAGGGAGATGGCTGGTGTGGCATCACACCACGTTCTCCGTCTCGTTTCTAAACCACAAGACAGAAGGTGTCCCTGCCCATGGCAGGTGGGTTGGAACTTGATGATCTTAAGGTCCTTTCCAACCCTAACTATTCTATGATTCTATGATCTGAAGACAGGACCCAGGTGCTGACTCTGGGCATGGGAGCCATCCAGCATGGGACCTGCACTTGGTAGCACAGACCACGTTCAGAAATCACTCAGTTAGTGCCTCACAGAGGTGCTTCTTCATCTCTCAGTCACCTGGAGGGAAGCACGAGCTCCACTGCAGCCGATGGATTCCATTGTGGTCCCTATTGAGGAAAGGCAGCCCTCATGTCTCCTCCCTGCTGGACACCTACACCTAACAGCAAGCAGGATCTTCATGCACCTCACTGCCTTGCTTCTGCCTAGCTCCTGCTCTGATGACTGCTAGCACAGCACAGCATGGTACCGAGCAATGGACAGTGCCCCTTGCAGAGCTTCCTGCCCCACTCCCTTCCCTCTTCCCCTGCCAGCGCTTGCAGCCAGCACCTCCCTTCCTGAATCAAAGGGAAAACCCTTTTTGCTGCTGTTCTTAGCTGGACTTGCTACACGTATTCCCAGGGATGCTGTTTTCCTGACCTCCGATAATCTGAAGGGGGGTTGCAGATGTTACCCCTCACTGCCAGGGACCTCGTGCAGGCAGTGATGGAGACTGTTCCCCTTAGACCTCCTCACTAGCACATCTGCAGGTACTGATCCACAACCACAAAGAGTCTGTGGTATCTCCCCAGACACCCTCTTTCTCTACAAGGCTGGTTGCTTACACTGCCTGGAAACCAAAACCTCAGGCCCATGGACTTAACTCTTATCCCCACCATAGTGGTGTGTATCACTGCAGTATAAATGACTCAGGTGAGAGTCTGGGAGCTGCTGGATCCCAAAAGCCAGATTTGCAGCACCTTCTATGGAGGTTATTTTGTCAGCACTCAGCAACACCACCTGTAGCCTGGGTAGTATCCAAGCCTGGTGGGAAAACAGCCACTGATGCTGATGTTGGTGCTGATGAGGATGCAGGAGCAGGAGCAGGAGCCAAGTCCTGCTGAAAAGCCAGGCCCAGCTGAGAGCTGTTGAATGCCATGAAAACATAACTCAAGGCTCACAAGTGGGATTGCATGTTCTAGACCCAATTCCTTTCACCTTATTCAACCAAGAGGACCCATTAAAATTGAAAGAACTGCCTGTGCATGCACATGCATTTTCCTTTTTTGATCAACCACCTCTTTGCTGCTACGCCTTCTAGAGTGCTTGAAAACCCCATAAATGTTAGATGTCCATGATAAAAGACAGTGCCCTTGTTTGGCCTGTGGCCGTTTTGCATGTTTGTTTGCTTATTTGTTTCAGTGAAGCCCAAACACACCAGTTGATGCACAACACCCGTGTGCCGCAATACGGCTCCAGGTTGCCTTGGCAACGGGTGGAAAGGGTTTTGAAGAGCCAGAGAGGCCCATGCTAATGAAAACAAGCATTCAGGGGGCCTCTTCTCCAGGTGGGCGAGAAGAGGCTCCCTGCTGGGCTCCCTCACCCAGCCCGCTTTCAAATAGGCTGGTGCTTTAAGCAAACACTACCAGAAACAACAACAAAGAAGCCCATCACGCAGCCCCCTCTGCTTCTTTTGCTTTCCAGGCTAAAGCACAACTACTGATTAAAAGTTCTGAGACGGCTCTTTGAAGCCTTTCATTAATAGGTTTCCTTTATGAATCCAAATGAGACGGTCAGCGCGTTTTTCCTTCAAAGAAGAGAAAAAGAGAAAGAGAACTATTATGGAAATGGTGGTTGTTGTTGTTGCGGCTCCTGGCTTTTATATGGGGAATCTCTCACATGTGCATCTGTGCCAGATGGCACTGCCCATAGAACAGGAGATAATCTTTGCACACCATCTTCACCAAGTTGACGCTGGTTCCTGGGTTGCTGCAGGCAATGGCTCTTGTTTGGACATGGTGGGAACCATGGGTTTTGGGCTCTTTAGGATAGTGCTGACCCTGTCTGGGCTCAGCGCACACAGTTCCCACTGCGAGTCTTGGGTGAAGGTGGGGAGAGGGTGCTGTGTTAATTGTGGACCTATTATAAGGACCATGAAGATGCTGCGAGGGCTGGAGCAGCTCTGCTCTGGAGCCAGGCTGAGAGAGCTGGGCTGGGGCAGCCTGGAGAAGAGAAGGCTCCTGAAGGGGAGACCTTAGAGCAGCTCCAGTGCCTAAAGGGTCTGAAGGAAACCTGGAGAGGGGCTTGGGACAAGGGCCTGTAGGGACAGGACAAAGGGGAATGGCTTGAACCTGCCAGAGGGGAGACTGAGATGAGCTCTTAGGCAGAAGCTCTTCCCTGTGAGGGTGCTGAGGCGCTGGCACAGGGTGCCCAAAGAAGCTGTGGCTGCCCCATCCCTGGCAGTGTTCAAGGCCAGGTTGGAGCAACCTGGTCTGGTGTGAGGTGTCCCTGTCCATGGCAGGGGGTTGGAACTGGATGCACTTTAAGGTCCCTTCCCACCCAAACCAGTCTGTGAGTCTATGATTCACAGAGGTCTTGCAGTAATGAGGCTGTGATACTGACTGTGTGGGGACATCTCCCCACTCAAGGAAGTGGGTCTTCTAGAAAGACATTTGGGCACCCATGCTCAGGAAACTGAACAGTCATTAGGGAATATCTGACCCAA